AACCTCAAGTGAGCAGAGTCAGGATGAAGCCTGTTCTGTAAAAGGGAAGAGAGAGTAGGTATTTGCTGAACAGTGATGTAATGAGCTAGGGATGTGTAGCTCAGTGGTAGAGCACTTGTCTAGCAGTTATGAAGCCCTGAGTTTGATCCCTGCCATTGCAAAAATCACCACTACCACAAAAGGGGAGAAAAGACACTAAATAGCTTGGGGGATTTGGAAGGTGGCTCAGTCCTAAAGTGCTTGCCTTGTAAGCATAAAGAAGCTGAGTTCAATCCCCAGAACCTATGTGAAAAATCTGGGTGTCACAGTGCATACTTGTAATCTCAGCATCGAAGATGTGGAGCTGAGAGGATTCCTGGGACTCATTTGCCAGCTACCTGAGCATTCTAGGCGAGTTCCGAGCCAATGGGAGACTGTGTCAAAAAATATGATCCACTACCTCAGAGAAAAAAAACCCAAGGTTGACCTCTGGTCTACTCTCTCCCTCCCTCTCCAACCTCCACACACAAATAAACTGAATGAGTCATACTATCTCACCAGCTTAATCTTAAGGCTATCACTGCTAATTTCCCACTCAACCATCCTGAGGCCATCAGGGAACATGTTGCCTTGGGAACCTTTGCTCATGCTGTTCCCTCACTGCCTAAGAGTCTCTTTCCCTCCCTGGTCCTCTACCATCCTTGTTCTTTAGATTTTTTCCCTCTTACTTCCTCAGGGAAGCCTGAACTACTCCCCAGGCCAGGCTGGCTGCCCTCCTGATGCCTGCACACCATGCCCAGCCCTGCCCTTTGTGACTTCTCTGATTGTAGAAGTCTGGCTGTGAACACTCTGAGAGGGTCCCACTAGCTTGCTTCTCTGTTTCCCTTTACTGTGACCTCCTCCTGTCTTCTCAACCCACTTAATTCCTTCCTGGAATTCCACCAAGCCCATCATCCTCAAATGGTGAAAGGCTGGCCCCTAGGGACTTCAGAGGGGACCAGTGATAGGGAAAGTCCTTCTGTGTATATGTTTGTCTTATTGGTTGATAAATAAAGCACTGTTGGCAAATAGGGAAGCAAGATAGATTAGCCTAGATGTCAGGGAGGAGTCTGGGAAATGTAGTCAAGAGTGGAAAGTCACCATGTGATCTCGGGAAGAGAGGATGCATGAGGCTGGCATTCTTGGTAAGATAAGAACTTATAGAAATATACATATTTGTAGTTATGGGTTAATACTTAAGACAGAACTAATCAATGAGAAGCCTGGACACTGGCCAACAACATTGTAACTAATAGGCTCTGTGTGTTATTTGGGGTTGATGTGGCTCTGGGACCAGGCTGGCAGGAAGAATGCTGGTTATACACCAACACCCTGGGATGTCTCTAGCTTCTATCAGGTCTAAGCAAGTTGAGAAGCCAGAGAAGCTCTAAAAAAAGACAGGTGAATGCCTTAGATTAGCCTGTGCTGGAGTGAGAGGACCCTATCCTGCATAGCTCTGTGGAAAGAATGAACCAAAGTCCCTAGGTCTCTGCTCTAGAGGACATAGGGCCTGACAGGGCCATGGACAAAGAAGCCAGGTCTTGGGAGAGAAAGAGAGAAGATCTTTCTTGTGAGTGATGATTCATCCACACCTGGAAAAGTCTAGAGCAATGGATCTCAACTTTCCTAATGCAGTTCCTTATGTTGTGGTGACCCCCAATCATAAAATTATTTTTGTTGCTACTTCACAACTGTTATTTTGCTAGTGTTATGAATCATGATATAAATATCTGATATGAGACCCCTGTGAAAGGGTCATTGAATACCCCGAAGTGGTCTTGACCCACAGATTGAAAACCGCTGGTCTAGAAGGGCCTCTAACTGTGCTCAGAGCCATGGATAGTTATTATTTCACTCCAGGTTTCTCAGACCTAATAGTCAAAGTAGAAACTGTGAGTGTTGCAGTCTTTAAAAATTCATAGAACATTCCAGAAGTCTTAAATATCTTATGGGGTAAAGGGAAGAGAAATGGTTAGCATCTGGAGGGAAGCCTGGAGTCCTGCATGGTATTTTGAGGCATTGGGAGATGTGTAGACAATCAGAGCAAGTTCCCAGGATACAACAGGTCCCCAGTGATCTTAAGGTCAGGAATAACTCTGCCCTTTTTACTAAGCCAGAGTCTTACTACATACCTACAACTAAGACAGCAAAGCAAAGACAGACCAGACAAAAATGTGTGAGAAGCTGGACCCAAGGATGAACATGGAGCCAATTTGTAGCCAAAGCTGGCTGGCCCAGGTCCTGGGGACCAGGAACCCTTGATGTCACTGGAGTCCACACGGACCCCTTTGCCTTCAGCTCTGTCATTTCTGCATTAACATTTCTCTCCATTTTGATTCTCTCCATGCAGGTTGAATGGAGATACCTGAAGCTCTTCCCTGGAAGTCACATGGCAGGGTGATCCAGAACCTGGTTCTGGGTCAGGTGACCTCTGTCCAAATCCCAGATGCCATGCCAAGGGCACTATAGCCAATACAAATTTACCCCAACCTCCTTTCAAAACAGCATTCCCTATACAGGGTTGAAGCTTCATGCCCTACTTCATCTAGGGTCAGTAGGCATTGGGTAAATACTGTCTGTCTGCATGTATGGAGGCATGGCTGTCTCCTGTGACAGTCATGCCAGAGAACTTTCTAAGGTGGGTTTTTGTTGTTGCTGTTGTGTTTGCGTGCTTATTGAGACAGGGTCTCCTGCAACCCAGTCTGGCCCCCAACTCACCAGATCATTAAAGAAGACCCTGAACATCTGCCTCTATTTTCTCAGTGCCGGGGTTATGGGTATTTGCCACTGCACCCAGTTTATGAGGTCCTGGGGTTGGAGCCCTGTGTTTTCACAAGTTAGTCAAGCACTCTCCCAACTGAGATGTAGGCCCTGTCCTCTAAGGCATTTTTTTGAATACAAGCTAAACCACCTGCCCCCCCCCAACATCCCAAAACCAAAAATGATACTCCAAGACCAAAATGTTCTGAACATTGGCAAGAACACATGTGCAAAATTCCACTTCACACCTCACGGTAGGCCCCAGTGAAAGCGTCAGCACACAGAATGCTGTAGAATTACCACAGATTACCTCCTGGCTCCATGCATAACATGAAGGTGAAACACAAATGAATTTCACAAATAGACTTGGATTCCCATCTCATGAAAACACAAATATTCAAAAGGAAATCCCAAACAGCTCGCTCCTACCAGGCATGTCTATCCTGTGGCAGAAGGTCACATGTGCCCAGGGTGGTTGTAGATGCAGCTCAACCATTTTAGCTTGCTTTTCTGTTGCTGTGGCCAATGCTGACCAAAGTTAACACTGAGAGAAGAGTGTTTATTTGGATTATAGGCTACATACAGTTCATCACGAGAGAAGCCAAAGTAGGAACTCAAAAGCAGGAGCTTGAAGGAGAAACCAACAGAAAAACATTGCTTTCTAACTTGCTCATTTACCTTTTCTGTATATCTCAGACCCACCTGCCTAGGGATGGTGACATCCACAGTGGCTGGGTTCTCCTACACCAATTAGCAATTAAGAAAATGCCTCGAAGACATACCCACAGGCCAATCTGATGAAGGCACCTTCTCAATTGAGGTTCCCTGTTCCTAGATAACTCTAGGTTTATGTCAGGTTGACAGCTGACACCAACATAAAGCCATGCACTTAGCCAACACATTAAAAGATTAATTTTGCTACTCAATGACACAGTTCTTGAGCATGACACCTGCAATGTCACTTTGCAGTCTCTATAGGTTGGACGTGTGTGTATACATTCCTGTAAAGGGGTGTTCAGGCTGTTTTAGCAGGACTCTTGGATCTTCCCTCTGTGTTTAAAGTATACCAGCTGAGCATAGATTCCCAAAGAGACTAGACTCAGAAGGCTCTTTCCAGAGTGATCTGGGATAGGGATGGGGCAAGTGGGAGTTTATGAAAAGCAACTTCTCAGGCCTAGTGCCCTTGTAAAGCTTTTCCCAAAATCCAGGCAGGTAGGTGTATATATGGTTGATGACCTTTTACAGGACATTCAAAAGGTTAGGAATGTGCCCATGATTATGGTGACATATTATTTATGATTTATTAAAGCTTGCCTGAGGGTAGAGAAAGCAAAACTAGCCACAAGCCACAGAGCCAGGCAGTGGTGATTCACATCTTTAATCCCAGCAGCCATACTAGCTAGCCATAGAGCCAGGTATTGGTGGCACATACCTTTAATCCCAGGACTCAAGAGACAAGCTGATGGATCTCTGTTAGTTCAAGGCCACGCTAAGTTACAAGAAATTGATGCAGTCCAAAAGAGAAACAACTCACACAAAGGTGATCTCAGCACTTGGAATCACGGCATGTCTTTAATCCCAAGATTTGAGAGGTATAGAAGGAAGAAGGAAAGTCAGTCTTAGAGATTTACTCTCCAGCCACGCCGAGGAGAGGACAGCCCTTTCAGCCTGAGGTAGAGGTAAGAGCTTGTGGCTGGCCGCTTTGCTTCTCTGATCTTCCGTTTGAAGCTTTAACCACAATATCTGCCTCTGTGTTTTTATTGAATCATGTTACACACGATGGCTTTGTTAAATAACACCAGAGTGTGTCCTCCAATGCTACAGGCCATGCCCCCAGGGCCCTGGCATAAGCTCCCTGTGGCTTCCAGTGGCTGAGTGCCAAACAAGCCCACTGCCTGGTTGCCAGTGGTGCAAGATCAGGCAGAACTCCTCCCCAGAGGGTGGCTTTCGTCTGCCTCTGATCAAGCACAGGCAAGATTTCATAAATGGCCCTAACAAATCTGCCTTGTGTGTAGCCTTTTGTAACTGCGAGGCCATGCAATCTCAGAAACCGCGTCCCCAGAGCATTCCCTGCTGTGTCTCAGGTCTTTGACACCATGCTTACAGGGAGACCTCACTCGAACACTTCATGAATTGGTTCAGCTGATATTTACCAAGTGCCTTCCTCAGGTCAGGTATAGGGTAAGGGGCAGGAATGACCTGCTGGGAATAAGACAAATGGCTTTACTTCACAAAGCTTTTATTTAAGAAGTCAGAGGGGGGTCAGTAGTCAAGTCCTTGCGTTGCAAGCCTGAGAAGCTGAATTCAATTCCCAAAACCCATGCAAAAAAATTCAAGGTGGTCCCAGTTCTGGGAAGGCTGAGACAGTGGATCTGCGAGGCTCACTGAACAGCCAGTCTGACCTTTTCAGTGAGCTCCAGGGTCATGAGAGATCCTGTCTCAAAGGGGGTAGAAAGCATTCCTGAAGGTGACACCCAAGGTCGTCCCCTGGTCTCCATACACACATTTACACACATGTACACACATGCACATGTACACACCGTTCAAGTCTGGGGGGAGATAAGTGTGGGTGACATTAGGCAGGGAATAGGGTTCAGGATTAGGGTCCATGGCCATGTGAGGAAACCATAGAATCAGACAGGGCCCTCTGCCCTTCCAGCTTCTCTAAAGCAGGTCATAGAAACACGTGATGACTTTCCCTGAAACAGGTCACAAACCCCTCCTGTGAGAAGTCTCTTTCCTGTACCTAGAGGGAAGGAACACTCGTCTCTCAAAGAAGCACCTGAACAGACAGGCCCCCTCTAGTCCCCAAGTTCATTACCATTGGACCCGACCTCAGCAGCGTCTTTGTGACTGGCCATAAGTCATTGAATATACAACAAAAACACAAGCTTCCTGTTTCTTTATGTTCCGAAGGTTCCCAGGTCACATGAGATCTAGGTCACATCCGTCTGCACATCTTTGTCCTGTCCATCTGTCTGCCCTCTGGAGACCTCAGCCATGAGTCAAGGAGGAGGTAGAAAGAATGTCTCCTGCCCTACGTGAGACGAAGGATGTAAAGCAGAGGGGTACCACTTAATCTCTGACAAAAATGTCACCCAGCATCTCCGTCAAGTGACAAGTGATGGAATGCTTCACGGTCCTCCGGCGCACCAGTGTGCATGCATCTCATCTGCTCATTGGCGTGAGCTCTGTTCTCAATGAGATTTGAATGAGCCACTCATTCTTCCAGGGCCCCATTCTGTTTGCTGCCTGTTTCCTTTGGCTTCTCACGGTTTTGGTTGGATAGTCTAGGTCATAGGAATAGCTTCCTTCCATCTGGATCTTGCTGTCTGCACTTGAGCTATCGTTCCATCTGTCCGGAGGCACCATTTGGATTAAGATGTGCCAAGCAGGCAAAATCCTGAAAGAAGGATGGGGGAAGAGTTGTGCAGAACCCAATGGTAAGAGGGTTCTGCAACTTCTGTGCCTTCCTAGTTTCACTGCTTACAGCTGTGGCCTCTGAGACCCGCTCTTTTTTCAGATAAGTTCCCCCACCCCACTACTTCAAGTTCCTCCACATCATCTTTGCTCAGCTGAGTGAACCTCCTTTGTCAATCTGCAGTGGAAGATTCACCCTTAAAAGCTCTTGGCCTGAAAAACAGAAAGCCCAAACTCTATCAACAAGACAAACCAACCAGGTACAGTATATTTGTGCAATGGACCATTACTCAGTAGTGAAAGCTACATGAGTTATATATTGAATAAAAGAAGCTGGATAGGAGTCAGAGACAAAACTAATCTATAATACTAATGATACTTTGGGGGTGAGAGTGACAGGAAGAGGCATAAGGGAACCTTCTAGAATGGTGGATGTGTTTCACCATTTTATCTGGACATGGACTGTAGCGTTGTACCTGTATGTAACAATGTCTTATATTTAACATGCTTATACATTTCTGTAGGTAAATTTTACCTCCATCTAAAAAAATAAGAATTAACCATGAGGCCAGGTGTCATGGTGCATGCCTTTAATTCTAGCTCTCAAAAGACAGAGATAAGCAGATTTCTATAAATTTAGGGCCATCCTAATCTACATAGATAGTTACAGGCTAACCAGGGCTACACAGAGAGACTCTGTCTCAAAAATCAAATAAAAATTAATGTATTTATATGCAGGCAAACCAAGGCATCAGTTAGCTGCTTAACCATGATGGATGCTCCTAAAAGCTCAGGAGTTCATCATCTTCCACATGCGACAGGGTGGGTACTACTCACCTCACAGAATACGACAGCTGACAAATACAGTCCTGAAAATCTCAGCTGCCGGCCTTTGATGCAGTTCTTGCTGATGTTACCTGTTACCCTACCCATGCCCTAGCACACTTTGGATAAAACCTTGTGTCTCAGACACCACGTATCTCAACTCATATAACATCTGTCTCTCAGGCTTGTGGTGTGCTTCCTGCACACAGTGTATGGCTTGTTCCATAGTAACACACCCATCGCAGATCCCCCAATGTGTTCTTTATCTGACTTAATCTCGATTTTACCATGGTGAGTCACAATGTTCCATGGAGATCTGAAGAAACCAATGATCCCTCATGTGTGCAGGACTGTGTGATTACCAGAACCTGCCAGGTTTCCCACAGGTTGTCTCCAGCTTCTGGAGACAAGAGAGTTACTGGTGAAACATCCCTGCATTAGGAATCCTTTCTCAAAGAATTATCCCTGAGAAACTGTCACGTAACAGTCATGCCAGATTTTCCCAGAAATCATAGTTTAGGGTCTAGGACTGGAGACTGATCTCAAAATTAACTTCTTCCTGTTGGTTGTCGTTCTCAGGATTGGTGTGTGTGTCTGTGTGTCTATGTCTCTGTTTATGTGTGTCTACTTGTGAATGTATGCAGATGCATCTGTCTGTAAATATGTGTAGGTCCATGTAGAGGTCAGAGGAGAACCGTAGGTGTTATTCCTTAGTTGTAACCATCTTGTTTTTGAGACACAGTCTCCTCCTTGGCTTCCGACTCACCCAGGACGCCCAGTTGACTGGCGAGCAAGTCACAGGGACCTGTATGTCTCCCCCTCAACTCTAGAGTTATGAGCACAGCCGACTTTTGAAGTGTGTTTTGGGGACTGAGCGGTCCTCATGCTTGCCTGACACGTACTTTACTAAGCTATCTGGCCAGCCGCGGTGTGGATCCTTGCAGTTGTTGCGGAAGTGACAGGCCATTTGTTGTGTCTGGATCCACGGTCTGGATTTCTATCCCAGCTCTGCTTGACTGAGTTCCCACTTGCCTTTGGCTGATGGCTCCCCTGGTGACATCCTGGCCTGATTCCAAATCTTTCTGCCAGTGTCACTCACCAATCAAACTCACCCCAAAACTAAGATGCAGTGTTATTTTGTTTATGCTATGACAAATAAAGCTTACCTAAAGATTAGAGTGCAGAGTTGAGCCACTAGTTGAGTTCAGAGAGGCAAGGCAGTGCTGTGGGGCTCAGCTCCTTGGAGTTAAGATCAGAGTGACCTCTTTTAGAAGCCCTGCTCCCTGACTCCTCAGATGGGCTTCCTCAGAGCTAGGGGCAGTGGCTTCTTTACCTGACAGGTCACAGAGTTCTAGTGTCATTGGTTCCCGGGGGCTTCATGGATACTGACAGTCCAGATAGTCACAGTCAGTACCGCACAAGTAGCTGAACAGAACTTGTCCCGAAGCAGTCTGACCGGAGGGATTTCTCTCAGAGGGAAGTCTTGTCTCCCAACGGCTCACAGCACTTTCCCATGCTGAGTTCTCTGTGCTGACCCAAGCCAATTCCACAGCTTCTCCACCAGCCCACAGCTTCTCCACCAGGCCCACAGCTTCTCCACCAGGCCCACGGCTTCTTCATGTGAGGCTTACAGGCACTGGTCTGAACCTTCCAACTGCAGTGGAAAGTGAGGCTTCTCTTGGAATTGCCCTGTCCTATGCCTAATAACCATTTGACCCCCAGCCTTCCAAACTCCACTCACCAGGGCATCCCTTGACAGAAGCAAGCACAAGTTTAAGTTCACCTCCAGCTTCTGAGACACCCAATCACTCTCCCAGCGTACTTCTTCCTGGTGCTCCTATGAATTACCCTTCCAGGGCCTGGCCAGCAACCAATTGAAGAGAAAGGGAAAGGGCTCAGCTCCTTACAGAGATAGCTGGTCCTCCAGGTAGCACAGATGCTCTGTGGCCCGTGAGTCTTTTGTGTCCTTACTGTTTTAACACACAGGCCGGGACTCCAGGTGCCAGCAGCTGCCTCTATTTGCCTCTTTGCCTGTGGGCTTCTTCTAACCACTGGACCCCCACACATAGCAGGGCCACAAGCCCAGCCCCACCTCTATGATGTGTAACTTCCTAGCCTACGGGTGAACTGCAGTAGGCATGGTGTTGAACTCTCAGGATCCCCAATGGGATGATCTTCAGTTGTTCCCAGAGATGCCTTGCTCAACAGCACACTGCTGGAAGCAACCTTCCCCTCCTTGTCTCCCGTCCTGGTTCTTTCTGAATGTCTAACTCCACACAGGACAACAGCCTAGGTCCCCAGCTTACTTCTAAGGACACCGCATTAAGATACCCCAATATGATCTTGCCATCTTCCAAGCTCAGCTTCAGAAAGAGAAAGTTTCCCTCTGCTCCCCTGTGAAGACAGGATGAAGTTAGATGTGGGTGCACAAACCAGTAACCCCAGCATGTGGCAAGCTGACAAAGGAAGATTGAGAGTTCAAGACCAGCCTTGGACTACAGAGTGAGTTCAAGACTAGCCTGGACTACAAAGGTAGTCTGAGGCCAGCCAAAATAAATAGCAAGAAATGACCTTGATAAAAGGAGGATGGTGAGGATGACAAGGAGAGGAAGAGAAAAATAAAAATGAAAAGAGAGGAAGAGGAGAGGGAACCATACTTCAGCAAGCCTGTGTGGTCTCTTCCCTAATCTCTGAGATACTGCTGCAGTGTAGAAGACAGGAATGAGGCTGTGGGCCACGGTTCTGGAACCCCAGGGAGGCTCCAGTTTCCCCACAGACATACCTACATCTTTTCCTAGTTGCTGTCAGCTAGTCTGGAACAAGGCGAAAAGCCTGCTGAGCTGCCTAACTTGTAGGGGCTAGTCTCAGTATGCTCCAAGGCTCCAGTCTCCAAGCCTCCTGTCTCCCCAAGCATTCCTCCCAGGAACTCAAAGCCTTCTAGCCCCTCCCCATCCTGGATAGCTCGGGAACACAGAACGCTTCTGGGCACGCCCAGCGAGGCACACAAATCATTGCACTAACAGTCTCCCTGAGGATTTCAGAGACAAGCTCCCACTGTGTGTCATGTATGCCAGAACCATCTATCACATTCTCCAGGATTCTCCCTGTTGTCTAGCAGGAGTGACTGGGACTCTTAAATAAGGGTTTCGAGTTCGCGTCTGACTCCGGGAGGCACTTAAGAGACTGTGATCCTCCCAGGTTTGGCCCATGTCCAGTGGGATCTGCAGGCCTGGGATGAAGCAGGGCTGAGCTGGCCAGGATCCCACACTGCGGTTCAAACTGCTGGCAAAATAGTGCGTGTGCTTTCTCAACTGCGCTGCCCTTTGGAAACACACCAAATGCTCTCTGACCCCACACCACAAGAACACCCTGTCACTAAGACTTGCAGCTGGGTACAGTGGCACACACTTTTAATCCCAGCACTCAGGAGGCTGGATCCCTGTGAGTTCAAAGACAGGGTCGTCTACATAGTGAATTCTATGTTAGCTGGGAATACAGAGAAAACTTTGTCTTAAAAAAGAAAAAGACTCCTGGTGGTTTAAAAACGAGTCACCCTCCTCTTCTCCAAGGATCTTACGTAGAGTTTTTCAAATAGACATGGGTAACACAGTTCTGGCTGCCTAGCCTTGGATCTGGGTGCTAAGCCACAGTATTGGCTAATTGACAGTGTCAACTTGACGGAACTGTGATCACTTAGGAGACACACCTCTGAGTATCTGTGAGGATGTTGTGAGAGAAGACCAATCCAAATCTGAACAAAAAGAAGCAAACGCAATGAATTCCAGCACCCATGCCTCTCACCTGACCTCGCTCATGCCCTACCCTCATGGTGGATGGTACCTCAGAACTACGAGCCGAAATAAACCCTAACTTAAGTTGCTTTTGTCGGGCATTATTGTCACAGCAGAAGCAAAGCAATGTGCTTGTGGTATACTCCATTTCCCAGACTGGCTCCAGTACGCCCTGAGGAGCAGGGCGGGCCCCTCCAGACAGACTGGGGCTGGTGGGAAAGGCAGACCCGCCTGCCCTCTGTGCCCACCTCTCAAAACTTCCCACCTGCAGAGGCAGCTGCTCCCCACTCTCTGTCCTCTGCCACTTTCCAAAGACCTCCTCTTGTCCCTTTCTCCAGCCTCTTGCAATCTGCCCCAGTTACGGTTCTGCTGCTCTGAAGAGGCGCTATGATCAAGGCCACTTATGATAAATATTTAACCGGGGGCTGGTTTACAGTGTCAGAAGGTGAGTCTGTGACCACCAGGCAGGAGCAAGGCCACAAACAGGTAGGCACAGCTCTGGAGCAGCAGCTGAGAGCGTGCACCTTATCCATAAGTTGGACGCAGAGGGAGAGAGACTGGACCTTACCTGGGTTTTTGAAAGCTCTAAACCCAACCCCTAGTGACACACCTTCTCCAACAGGACCACACCTCCTAATCCTTCCCAAAACATCCTACCAACTAGGGACCAAGCATTTCAAGTATGAGCCTTTGGGGTCCATTATCATTCAAACAACCACAGTCTTTTTTTCCCAAAAAAGCTCTGAGTCTAGCTCGATTCACATTTACCTAGCCTCTCAGCTTATCATCTTCACCTCTCCACCCATGAACATGGACAGCTCAACAAAGGGGCTCCAGAACCCAGAAAGGCCAACACAGACCTTCCAGGAACAGCAGCCCCCGAAGCTACATTGTTGTTAGAATATGTCCTCCACAAAACTCATATGTCAAAACTGAACACCATTGTGACTGTATTAGAGATGGGACCAGAAGAAGGAGACCAGTTCCTGAGGGCTGTACCTTATGGTTGGTGTTAACTCATCATAAACGTAACTTTCCCTTTTAACCTTCCTAGCAGGAGAGAGCCATGAACCCTCCACAGGGTCCAAGGCACTAAGAAGCAGAGAGGCCATCACAGCTTGACCTTGAACTGCCAACATGCAGACCATCTGGAAGTAAATGTTTTTTACTTACCTAGTATCCAGTCTTAGGTATCTGTTACGTGAGAAACTAAGAAAATGGACTAAGTAGACTCAATAAATACTCTGTTTTGTTGCTGACACACACTAAATAGGAATGAAGTTGAGAAAATAGTTACCTTTTAAAAATATTTTTAAAAATTTGTATGTATATGAGTTTTTCTGCTTATATGTCTGGGAACCACATACATGCAATGCCCGTGGAGACCAGTAGAAATATCAGGTCCTCTGCAAGTAGAGTTAGATTGCCCTAAGCTGCTACTCGGGTGCTTGGAACTGAACCCCGGTCCTCTGCAAGAGTAGTCAGTGCTCTTAAGCACTGAGCCAAATCTATGGCACCAAAAGTTATCTTTTAAGCACAAATTATTTTATAACAATCACAAGAAGAGTTCTTTGAAATGGGGCAGACATCTAGGATAACCAAGCAAAGACGTAAGGATAAGATAAGGCAGGTTGAACTCCTCAGAGAGATTCTCTTTGAGAATTTAAGGGTGCACTCACTAACTGGACAATGGTGGTGCATGCCTTTAATCCCAGCACTTGGGAGGCAGAGGTGGGCATACCTTTGTGAGTTCGAGGCCAGCCTAGTCTACAGAATTACTTCCAGGATAGCAAGGGCTACACAAAGAAACCTTATCTCAAAAAAAAAAAAAAAAGTACAAGAATACACTCACTCTCAGGGTTGTACAAATGGCAATTGTCTTTGCTTGGTTTCCACTGCTGTGATAAAGGGGGTAACCAAAAGCAAGTGGGGGAGGAAAGGGTTTATTTGGCTTACATATCCCAGGTCATAGTCCACTGATGAAGCCAAGGCAGAACCTGAAAGCAGGAATTCAAGCAGGGGTCATGGAGGAGTACTACTCACTGGCTCGCTCCTCATGGCTTGCTCTGTCTGCTTTCGTTCTCCCTCCCTCCCTCCCTCTCTCCCTCCCTCCGCCTCTCTCCCTCTCCCTGTCTTCCTCCCTCCCCCCACTCAACAGGGTCTCACTATGTAGTCCTAGCTCATCAGGAGCAGGATATGTAGTCCAGGCTGGCATTGACCTCACAGAGATCCATCTGCCTCTTCCTACTGAGGACTGAGATGAAAGGCATGTGTCACCGTGCTCAGCTCAACCTCCTTTCTTGTAGGCTACCAGCCCAGGGGTGATACAACCCACAGGGATCTGTGTCCTCCCACATCAGGCATCAATCAAGAAAATGCCCCAAAAAAAGACTGGCCTGTGGGCGCATCTGATAGATGCCATTCTTCAGCGGAGGTTCCCTCTTCCTGGAGGAGCCAGGTTTACATCCAGTTGACAACACAAAACAAACAAACAAAAACCTCGTATATCACCTTTGCATTACTATGGACCTAAGAGTGGGTGCTTCCCATTCAAGCCCTGACATAAAAAACAAAACAACCTGATGGTCTATGGAGGTGACTAAGTCTGCGCACTTGCCACACAAATATGCGGACCTGAGCCTGGCTCCCAGCACCCACATACAACAAGCTGATGAAGGAGAGAACATCTATAATCCCAGCCCTGGAGAGACAGACACAGGCAGATCCCTGAAGCTCATTGGCCATCCATCCTAGTCCAGTCCATAAGCTCCAGGCTCTGCCTCAAAAAATAAGGTAGCGTTAGACACAAGGGTGTGGGGGTGGGGAGGTACCATGGTCCTGTGTCATGAGATGATGGGACAGACTTGGTAGACTTCCTGGGGAGGCCTTACCCTCTCTGAGGAGCAGATGGAAGTGGGGTGGGAGGGGAGTGGAGGGAGCAGAAGGAGAGGAGTGAGGGGGATCTGGGATTGGAATGTAAAAACTAAATTAATAAATTTAGAAAACATTAAGGTAGAGTGTGGTTAAGGGAGACACCTAACATCAGCCTCTAGCCTCCATGCGTGCACATGCGCACACCCACACATGTGCACAAGCACATGCCATAAACCATGTGCACACATGCCATAAACCATGCACATAAAGAATACTGACAGATTTGTAAACTCCTGCATAAGCATTTTTCCCATGTTGTGTTGAACACAGAGAGATCTAGAAGAATCTGCTGGACTGTTGAAAGTTCTTTCTGAGCTGTGGGGTTTGGTGGGAAACAAGAAAAGCCTCGCTCCTCACTTGACTCTTGCTCTGCACTGTTTGAAGTCTCAAAAAAAAAATAATCAGAGTCAGCTTTGGTTAATTTAGACAAACCATAAAAAATAAATAAAAATAATAAATCATATTACATGGCAAAGGATCTACAAAAAAAAAAACTAAAACGAAACGGATTACCGGGGTTTTCTTCTCCACAGATGCAAATGGTGAAAGCTGAGATGTGTGACAGATGCCAACTTCAAAGTGCCCTGTGTGCCTGGTGGCCACCCACCTTATTCATCTCGCTGAGGGGCAGCAGATGAAGTGTCTCGGGGGACCACATATCAGGAACAGGACAGGTTGTGTTTCCTCTTCCCTCACGGAGGTGAGAGTGGAGGAATGACCTTCAGATGTCCTTCCTAGATGGCAGCTCTGTTATGTGGGAAAGACCAGGGCAGGAGGGCTCATACCAGCCTGACTCCAGATGCCTGGCTGGCGAATGCAGTTGTCAAAGCCCCCAGCTGTCCATGACCAAGTCTACAAATGTAACATCTTCTAGTTGTGAAACGTGGGAGCCAATCAAATGCATACACCTGTCTTAGTTCTGTTAGTGAAACGTGTTCAAATCCTAAACTGTCGGAAGCAGAGTGGATGAAGATGGCCGGTTGGTCACACTGTTTTCTTCCCTGGTGTCCTCTGCACTTCCCCAGGAGACATCAACAAACCTCTCTGCGTCCCTGACGGGGTATGGATGACTGACTGGAGAAAGGGTTCCACTGAAGTCCGGCTTGCTGCACCAGTGATGGATAAGCAGAAATGGTGTGTGCACACCACTCTAAACCGTGTGATGAGGATTCTGCTTACCCAGGTTTTTCCACTATCAAAGTGTTCCTTAGTATCTTCTGCATTTTACAGATAAGGAAACGGATGCTAAAATATGATACTGCTCAAGACCACAAGCAGGAAGATGGCAAAGTAATGCACAATTCCAAGCTTTATATGCTGATATAGTCATGATCAGGTGCTTCTTTTGGAGGGGAGGGGCATGTTCATGTATGTGTGTGGGAGCATATTCATGGATGCGCATGTGCGCATGGAGCCTGGAGGATAACCATAGATGCACTCTCTACCCTTATTTTGGAGCTAGGGGTCTCACTGGCTTGGAGCTCTCAGAAGCCCTATTGGCTAGCTGCTGAGTTCCACAGATCTACCAGCCTCTGCCTCCCAGTACCCGGATTATAAACATGTAGCACCATGGCCAGCTTTTCCTGCTACATAGGTTCTGGGGATCAAACTCAGGTCACTATGCTCACAAAGATAAACACTTTACTAACTGAGCCATTTCCCCAGCCCTAGTCACATGTTTCTTTGTCTTTTAATCCTCAGAACCACCTAGTGGGGCCCCACACCCTTAGGGCACATCTTCCTGACAAGAAGGGGTCAAGTAGTTAAGTAGAGTATCCACACTCAAAGAAGGACCCAGATCACAGCCAAACCTATGGACTTCAAAGATGGCTTCTAACAGCTCCTAATCCTGGGGCATTGCCCTGTGACTGAGGTCCTGGAGAACATCACTTAGGTGTTTCCTCTTTCATAGCCTCCCAGATGGAAACTGCCATTCAAACTCAGTGCTTGTCATGGGAGGTAGCCCTTTACCCATTCCCTGGTGCTCTATCTATCTGTAAGCATTTCGAGATGCAGACATTTCTAGACCTTTTCAACTGGGGTCCCCTCTTCTCTGCTTAGCATCTATAGGTTAGAACTACACAGTTCCTTTGTGGATCAAACCCCACTGCCACTAAGTGCCTATCCATGCCACACCACAATCCTCACTCATATTCCTTTATTTCTGTGCCTGCCTTCTTCTGAGGAACTGTGCCCTGAGGAGAATCCCAGCCTATTCCCCAGAGTGTAAATCTTCTTGGCCTAAGCCAACCACAGCAACTCCCCTGTCTCTGTGGGGACCTGGTTCTGTTGGCTTTGAAATGGTTCT